TAAGCGTCTTGACTGTTGATTTCTGCTCAGCTCATGATCTCAGGGTTGTGAGATCGAGCCCCATGTTGGGCTCTGCACTGGGCCTGGAGCCTGCTTAAGATTCTTTTTCCCTCTGCCCCTCCCCCCTCTAAAAAAATAAAAAGTTGGGCGCCTGGGTGGCTCAGTTGGTTGGGCGACTGCCTTCGGCTCAGGTCATGATCCTGGAGTCCCAGGATCGAGTCCTACATTGGGCTCCCTGCTCAGCAGGGAGTCAGAAGTGTCAGAGCTTCTCCGACACTTCCCCCTCTCATGTGCTCTCTCTCAAATAAATCAATCTTTAAAAAAAAAAATAAAAAGTTAATATAAAAGCTATAAAGTTATATTCACAAATAGCTTTAAAAATCATATTTGTTAGTATGTATTCTAGTACCCATGATGAAATTTTAATTTTCAAGCTTACCATCACACTAATACTTCTGCTCCGTCTTTTACAGGAGCTAGGAGAAAGATTTAAAACAAATGAAAAAAACCACAAATTTTAATTTGGCCTATCCTACTGGTTATTCTTTTGCTAAAAATATATACTTCAACAATAATTTCAAAAGCTGAAGTGAGCCTTCCATTTAAGAAGTCTTTCATGAGCGATGATACAACATTCTAGTTGTCCACAGTAAAAAATACTGTTCTAATTTGCAAAACCTGAAAGTTCACACCTACACGTCCACTACCTCCTTGCAAGAAACTGGTATCATTTTATGGTTGAGAAAACTGAAAATCAGAAGCTAATGACTGGGGTGCCTGGGTGGCTCAGTCGTTAAGCGTCTGCCTTCGGCTCGGGCATTGGGCTCCCTGCTCGGCAGGAAGCCTGCTTCTCCCTCCCCCACTCCCCCTGCTTGTGTTCCCTCTCTCGCTGTGTCTCTCTCTGTCAAATATATAAATAAAATCTTAAAAAAAAAAAAAAGCTAACAACCTTAGAGCTAGCTGTGGGAAAATAGTTCTAAATATAGAATGTTCCTTACCATATCTCACTGTCTCACAACAAATATACTACCTGGGTATCTATAACTACTGATGTTTACTGTTTCAATCTGCAGTATTACCTCAACTCATACATAGATACATGGCTCAAAATTGAACGTAATTCTGAGCTTTTTAAATTGAAGAGTTTATCTTATTAAAGTCACTCAATATTTAAAAGTTGTACAGGAATCCTTTCTCAAATTAAAAAAAAATGTACTATAGGTTTTCTATATTTACAATTTATTTTTTCGTTTTTCGCAACTGAGGGCAATTCTAAAATAATTCTTACTTGTTTCAGGACACTGATAATTCACTTCATATAATGGAAGATGGTTATCACTATAAAGAAAATGAAATACTTTCACTTGCTTATCAGGAGAATTCAAGGTCAGAAAAAAGCAGGCTAGAAGAAACAGTGAAGGTACACACGAAGGCCAGACATATGTGAGGTACTTTAGTATGTGAGTCTAAATTATTTGAATCGTATCTAAGAATCAATGAACCTCCAATGTTCCTTTACAAAGTTTAAAAGAAAAGCAAATACTGTAATGAAAGTTTTAATGAGAGACTTGAGATGTTACAAAGTTTAAGAATCCTGAGAGATTTTAACTAAGAATTAAAAAAAAAGTGATACTTAAGCTTTTAAACAAATTTGGGAAATTATAAGAATTTGTCATTATTGAGAAAAAGGTAAGAATACACATTATGGGAAAAGACTGTTGGGATGGTTCCATATTTATCGTCTTACTTTTTTTTTAATATTTTATTTATTTAAGAGAGAGAATGAGATACAGAGAGCATGAGAGGGGGGAGGGTCAGAGGGAGAAGCAGACTCTCTGCTCAGCAGGGAGCCCGAAGTGGGACTTGATCCCGGGACTCCAGGATCATGACCTGAGCCGAAGGCAGTCGCTTAACCAACTGAGCCTTTTATGTATGTAGATTTAACTCCAGCTAGCAATGGACTTGAAGGTCACAGAAAATGAAACTATTTTTTGTTTCAACAAACTATATAGAACAAGCTACAATTTCCTGATATGAGGAAATTTTGAGCAAAATGAGCACCATCATCAACCATGATTTTATACAGTAGTACACACTTAATTACCAAAAGTTTAAACATTTAAAATATTTGATTTTGTGCATACTGGGAGATACTGAAAATATTTCTTTTTACAGGATTTCCATTTAAAAGAACAATTACCAAAGAGGTAGCTGTATTTTTAGCTGCTTTGTACGATCACATTCAACAGACATTTCTAGAAAAAAAAATGACATCAAAATCTATTTGATTTTCTCCCTGTCCTCTGAGACTCTAATCCAAAATATTATGTTAACTCTTGATTTTCGTAAATGGTTTATCTACTTTCTAGATTCCCTTAATAACCTAGAGTCTTTTCCTTTCATTACCCTGTCAATTTCCAGGCTCTCAAAAAGCAGTTGGAATATAATTAGATTATGGTATGATGTGGGGTAAGTATGTTTCTCAATGCATGTATTTGCCAAAAATAATTTTTGTACTGCCTGTTTTACGTTACCCATTGAAAAATTCTTTACCCCATCTTACTGCAAATAAGTCTTGATCAATGTATGAATTTTACCATGTACATTTTAACTTCATACACAGATACATGGCTCAAAATTGAACGTAATTCTGAGCTGATATTTAAAAACCTACTTTACATAGCTCATAAAAATTTGAGTTTATTTTTTAAATGAAAGTTTTGTTGTCTGAGCTGTTTGGAATTTTTTTGCTTAATATATAGTAAATATGAATTAAACATATTGAAAAACATACATATCTAACTGAAATGTTCCACAATCTAAAATGCTTGTAAGAAAATTACATATATTTCTCATTGCAAAAATCTGATAACAAAACAATATAGTACAGCTCTGCAACTTCGTATGTAAGTCAGCAAGGATATCCATATATTCTATTCTCCTTTCCCCCCTCTCTTTTGGCATTTTTAAGTGCCATTAAAAGAATTATTTGGAAATTACCAATGTAATCATATTTTCAAGAGAAGTGATTTCAAAGAAAAACAAATTTTATCGAGTAAAAAATACAAAGAAAGATTTCCACTATTCTTGGCTCCAGAAATGAAATTATTTTCTGAGATTTTACAGGATTTCTAGTTCTTTCCCCAATCAAGAATTTTCTACATTTGTATCTTAAAAACGAACTTAAAGAGAATGTGCTAATCTATACTGCACAAGCAAAGATGAGAAGCATAAAGAAGAGAGGGTGGGAAGAAGGCAGTTATGAAATGCATTGTCTATAAAGAACATAAACAGAGGGGCACCTGGGTGGCTCAGTCAGTTGAGCAGCTGACTCTTGATTTTGGCTCAGGTCATGATCTCAGGGTTGTGAGATGGAGCCCCTTTTGGGCTCCACACTCAGCGGGGAGTCTGCTTTGGGATTCTCTCTCCCTCTGCCCTTCTCCCCACTTTTTCTAAAATAAATTAAAAAAAAAAAAAGGACATAAACAAAAAACTGGCTAAAAGTTGGCCTGCTTTTTTATTTTCACCATCCACCAGTGATAGTGTCAATTCCTCTGGGGTGGAAGGTTCTAACCTGCATATGCCCCACTCCCTGCCCCTTTGATAAGCCAATGAAAGAGACTCACCTCATCTTTTCTTATAGTCTCTTGGCTTATTTCTTATAAAATGTCCTTACCTCAATGAGATTAGTTGATGAGAAAGTGCTGTCCTTACACAGAATCAATCAATAGTTACTCATTTTCTTCATGCCCAAATCAATGGTTTGTGTGGTTTTATAGTGAGCTGCCAGGAAAGCAAGGATACATATAGGACTGCTAGAAAGAACAGATTATAAGAGAAAGCAAGATCTTTAAACAAAGTATTAAGCTGTAGCTTTTGCACAGAGATTAATTAAAACTAAATTATAGGTGAAGAAAAAAGTCCTGAAAATTAGGGCTGCATTTGGGGAAATGTAAAGAAGGGCATACTTGAGTTAGATAAATAAGGAAAAAAATGCTGTATTAAATTTAAAATCAGTAATGGGTATACCACATAGTTTACAAAGCACCTTTTCATAAAATACATTTTCTCACTTGAGATCTCAACAATCCTGTGAGGCAGACACTATAACAAAGTAGGAGGTAGTATACAGAACTGAGGATGGAATATTGGCTCCACCACACAGTATTACGTGAATTTGGGAACAGTAACTGCTTTGTACCTTGGTTTCTCCAAATGAAAATCAATGATGATGAATGTCTACCTCATAGCTACTATGGGATTAAATGAGATACTACATACAGCAGTTTAATACACTACCTGGTCCATTTTAAGTGCTCAATAGTGCTATTATTGTTTTAATTTACAGGTGAAGAAACATACTGGGGGAGATTAAATTCAAAGTCACATGACTACTAAGTAGAAAAGCTAACAGTAGAATTCTAGACTGGCTACATTCCTACCACCCTTATTACATGAATATCTAAGTATGGATTAGCCTTTTGCACTATTTTTAGGTGTTTTTTTTTGCAGCTGACAATGTCATTTGAGTTTGACAAATTCAACAGCATTATTAACATCATTTTCTATTTTAAAACACTTTGTTTAGTGGGAATAAAAGTTAATTGCAGGCATTAAAAAGAAATGGGTCTCTATGGACAACTGCGGTGGAGACTACAATCCAGGGCTGGAAGAAGTTAATTTTGGTTTTTCTTTAAACCTCAGAAAAATGGAAAGTTTATTAGTAGGTAGACAGCAGAAAGCAAGCTGTGAGTGGAAGAATGCTTGTTTACAGCTCTATCTCAAGACTACAGAAGAGTGATTAGTAGGTGCACAAACGTTTAATGAATATTTAAATTAAAAAATCAACTTTGAAACACATCCTTAAGAGGGTTTGCTTTACTTTGACATGCTTTCCTATCTTTAATTATACAATAACTAAAAAGTCTACCATATAGTCACCTACCCATAAAACAGGGGGGGTTTATCAAAAGATTCAGAGTAAGAAATAAAAGACTAAATAAGGCCTTAAATAGCTTTATTGAAATCTGTATAAATAAACATGCACATTTCAAATGTAAACTCAAGTGAACTCAAGTGCAGACAAAATTTTAACCTCTGTCATGCAGGAGGTTAGTTTACATTAAAAAAAAAAAAGAAGAAAAGAAAGAAAAGAAAAGAAAAATAAAGAAAAGAAAGGAAAAAAAAAAAAAACCCAAAGCAGCTTTTAAAATACCAGGATGAAAAACCAGCTTTAATATCAAGGTATAAAGCAAAGCCATGATCAACATACCTCATTTATCCTGGTCAAATGCATTTTTTTCTTTTTACTTTTAAATGCTAACATAAATAAATAATTTACCAAAATGTGCACTCACAGAGTGAACTTTTATTTACAATACACAATTTATAATCTATTGTATTTGATTAGTTCAAGTGAAGAACATTATACTTTTTGCTTTAATAACAGTGGGACACAAAGCAATTTCTCAGGTAGTCGATATGTGAAATGTGCCCCAGCATTTAGATTTTCTATTAAAGGCAGTATTGTATGCCAATCGACAATACATTCTTTCAACTAGATTAAAGGGAAAAAGCAGCAAATGAAAAATGTTTCAAATGTTCACACATATTTTTGGCATCCTGGATCCTTGAATGTGGTGAACTAAAATCAAATTCAAGGTTTGTATGCTTTATATACTATACAGGTTCTGACTCTAGAACATGCAAATGCCAATTTTCTTATAACAAGTTACCTTCTGAGAAAAGCTGTAAGGCTATGGTGAATTCCATCAGGAACACACAAAGAAAGTTAACAGACCTACCTTTAAAGCCAATTGTCCATTAATGATTTAAAGGCCAGTATATGAAAAAAATTTCTCATTTAAGCTTGATGTAATTATTACTATGGATACAGAATACTATTAAGTCTGTCCTTATATCACAATAATTGGAAGAGCTACAAGTTGCCAAATTACCAAAAAATGGGGTAGAGAAAAACAGACAGCAAAAATTTTAATTTTGGACCAACACCAGATTAAAGATATGCATTTTAAAGCAAGTCAAAAAATTTTTGAATATATAAGGAATAGATCCCAATAGCAGTAAAAAATACTTACATTCAACTGAAAAATGATTTTAGATGGAGTGTGATATCTAGAACCTGTTTCCACAAGAGATGAACATAATATTCTGGACTTTTAATGATACTACAAAAGAAAATAACTTTTCCAAGATTGTTTCTTGTATCATGATTTGGTTTTTTAATAGGCCCATGTTGATTACCAGGAATAGATTTGAAAATTTGGTTTTCCAAGAATACTCCTGCAGTATTTATGCCACATTGATACCGCAGCTAAATATCATAGTAATATATATGGCAGCCTAATGCACATGAACTAGATAATCCAAAAACTAAGTTCAGCCATAGTTTTCTTGCAGTATTATTAGAGCAAAATAAATGACCAACATCCACAAATTTAACATTTGTCATCAATTAACTCACATCCAAAAAATTAAAGAAAACATAATTCATCAAAACAGCAGCAAACTTAAAAGGGGTTTATTTGTGATTTCCTATATATATTTAGCTTGTAATTACAAGACTGCAAATGTATTAAGAGACAATTTCTGTTAAAGTTTTCATTGTGTTTCACTTCAAGTACTGCACAAGTTAAAATCTGATAAAGGATTTACATTCGGTTATCTGAAACTCCCCATCTCAGACTTTTGTTTAATGTGGTGGGTAACTTCATCATTTCAATAGATACCACCAGCAGGAAAGTCTCTCTTTTATGGCTTCTAGGACTTTCATTAGTTAGTGTGCATACAGTTTTCATTTTCTATATCATTGTCATTATCATTGCTATCTTCATCACTTTCTAACGGGATGCCTGCGGCAGCTGAAGCACCTTTAGTTTCTCGGTCAAGAGGAAAAAAGCCAGTTCCACTGAAAGTGTCCTGTCTCTGGTAGAAGAGTACATATGCCGCTTTGGACTGTTGAAATAAACAAAGCATGTTAAAATGGTCATGATTCTCAAAGATCACATTAAGTATACTATGAACTTTTCAGCTGTGCAATCGATTTTGGTGACAGGGCATAAATCAAATAGAAAAACCACACATGGTCAAATGGAAGTTACTAAAATTGGTTTAAATATAAGATGACTTCTATATATAAAGGAAGAATAGTCACTAGAATTAACATTTTTATTCTCTATTACGTTGAACAGATAAGTAAATACAACTATATCACAGATTAACCTTGTTACTCTAACATGAAACAATTCTATGCCTTCTTCCCTCCCGTCTCTAAGGAAAAGGTAAGCTTGTTTCTAATACTAATCGCTTCACTCTAAGTCTGCTTTAGAGTCCAGCTTTTCCTACTGTCTTAAGGATATTGCTCCATTCTTCATCACCATGTATCTTTAGTAAGTTCGTATCTACTGGACTTCTTGGCCTAATAAATACTCAAGTCTTTTCCCATCCTAAATCCCTCCTCGTTCTACCGCCTTCCTCTAGCTGCCAGGCTGGCAGTCGTCGAATATTCATTATTCACTCTCACGCACACTCCTCAATTCAGTATGATCTGTTGCTCCAATCATTCTAATGAAATGCCTTTCACCAGGGGCAATAATCTGCTACAGACAAATTAAATGGGTGCTTTTTAAAGTTCTTTTAGTCAATCTCTCTGTAGCATTTACTGCTTTACTCCTCTTTCCTGCATCAAATAATTTTTGCCTTTTGTGACACTACTTTTCCTTAGATTTTCTATCTCCATGGTTGCTTCTGACTTTTCTGTGGGCTCATTAAATCCTAACCTTAAAAAAAAAAAAATAAAAAATCATGTTCTGTCCTCTGCCCACCACTCTTTCTCAATCTGTATTTTCTCACTAGGTGACTCATTTAAACCTATGGCTTCAACTGCTACCTAAGAATAATAATGCAGATTTATAACTTAAGCTAGTTCTCACTCCTGTTAGTCCCACTCCCCAGTGGAAACTTCCCCAGAGTTACCATATAGGTAGCTCAAATTTCAACAGCAAATTTTCTTCCTGTATTTCCTATCATGGTAAATGCTGAAGTAAGTCATCTTCAACTTCTCCCTCTTTGCATTTCTACGTCTTCATTTATACCCAATCTTGATCAAGTTCTATTAATTCTATCCAGGAAATATCTTATAAATCCATTTCCCCCTTGTCTATACATTACTACCACAACTTTAAATTTAGAAGCTTGTATTGCAGAAATGACAGCCTTCTTTCTGCTTTTCTCAGTGCCTTCCAAATTTAATAATGTTCTATTGCTTAATAATCACCGATGCTTCTCATAGTCTTTAAGAAAAGCTCTAAACCGTGAAGAATGTTGATCTGATTGCCAAGTTTACCTTCAGCCTAATTTCTGCCCCATATTCTTAACAATTATGTCCTTTCAGTAATACCAAATTATTTGCTCTTTTCCTAAATATCATGTTCTGTCATGCCTCCTTGCTTTTGTAGGTACTGTTTTCTCTGCTTAGAACACCTTTACTTCTTTTGTTTAATTACTTCCATTTGTAAAGTTGCAGACTCAGGTCAAACACCACTTTCTCATGCAAACTTCCCTCACTGGTTCTATCTCCTTAAACCCGAAATCAGTGGAGAGATGGCTGTCCTGTTTCCATGTAGTCAAGATGTTTAATAGTACTTATGATAAACTGTTAATTTACTTCTCTGTCATCTCTGGACGTTAAGCCTCTTGAAGTCAGAGATAGCTGTCTTTTAATCTTGTTTAGAATTGAGTCCTATATAAAGAAGGTACTCAAATACTTGTTGACTACATCAAGTATCATCACTGTAGGCAATTTCAGGATGTTTTGGTTGGGAGATTTAGAGAGAAGAACAGAATTGAAAAGTGATGGTTGAGACCTGAAATTAGAAGTCTAACTATAAACTGGAAATGTAATTAACTTAGGCACATACGTAATTTAAAAATATTAGCATTCAAGTCTCTTTGTTTTGTGTTATAGCTACAGGGACATAATACATATACACCGTACATAAATATATAAAATATCTGTGGAGAAACAACTCAAAATTATTTCATATCTGTTCACCCAATGATGGATTAAAACGATGCCAATAACTGGGCTCAGAAGTTTATTAATTTATTAAACTGAACAATATAAGTTGAAGACTCTTAAGGCATTACAAACTAAAGAAAAAGCTAGTCTCTGTCCTCAAAGAATATAAAATTTAAATGGGAAATATGAGCTCCCTGCCCACAGGAGCAAATACTACATTTCTCACTCTTTGTACTATTGTGATCAAACAGTAAAATTTTAGAAAGGCAAACTTTAACAGAAAAATAAACCCTTATTAAGCCAAGTCTTAGCTTTTTTCTTAGAATAAACTTGTCATCCTCTCACCAATCAATATTTGATAATAAAAATATGCTATGCTGGGAAGCAAAACAAATGCCAATATTTTGGCTCCAGCTGTGGCTGATAAACTGATGCAAATGTGAATAGATACTTCCTCATTTTTTTACTATTCAGAAAATATCAAAGTAACAGATACTCAAGGTTAATTTTTTTAAAAAAAATCCTCTAATTTGTTTAATCTAATCATGTAATTTTGAATTTAAATGTTCAAGTGTCATAAAGGATAAGACTTTACTTTAAAAATCACAGGTATGGTAAGGAAGGCCCTTAAAGAATTTTTTTTTTTCTATTTTAGTACTCTAATTTTAAGTAGTCAATGTCCCAAAATGTCTGAACCTATCTTCCAAAGGAAAATTTTATTATTTTCATTAGAAAACTCCATTTTTCAAGTTGAAAACTACCAGAAAAATTTTCATGATGCAATTTATGCTTCTGTTAGTGGGCAAGTTTGGAGACAAATTTCCACTTAGAGGACAACTTTACATTTCTTTAAATCAGGGAAAGTCTCTTTAACTATTAGAAATTGCTAAAATATAGACTGTAGTGTTCCATGGGAGCTTTTAAAAAAGTGGATCCTGTGATTTTCAGGAAATAAAGACACACTTACCACAATCTGGTCTTCAGATGCAGTTGAGACACTACTGTCATCAAAGTAGTACCATTTTCCATCATCTTTATTTTTTGCAAAAGCAGTATCTAATGAAAAAATATAATCACTTCTATGACTGAAATGTCTATGATTTCCTGGGGGGAACCCGTAAAACTTTACAATCATCTATATAAGGAATACATATTAAAATTACACGACAATCATCTACATAAGGCCTATCTATTACACATTCAACTGATTCCATTGATTAAAGGTTTTAATGTATTTCCTACAATCTAAATGCCTAAGATACTTTTCAAATATGTTGAAATCTGACTTCTTCTTCCCAAGGACAAACAGAATAGATTCATTATTTTTCAGTTCACAGAATAATACTAATGACAATAAATGGGAATTCATATTTATGTAGTGCTTATTGTGGACCAGGTATAGTGCTATGTACTTTACATGTACTATCTCATAGACAAGGTATTATTATGCCTCTTAACTTTAGAAATGGAGAAAGTGAGGCATAAAGAGAAGTTTAATATGTAACAGTAAAGCTGTTAAGTGGCTGAGTTAGCATTTAAATCCAGGTCTGTCTCTGACTCTAGAGTCTGACATTTTAATAATTTAAATTTTGTACAACAAATTTTTTTTTTCAATAATACTATCCCATTAATTTGTAGTAGTTTTTACACCAATTTTTTTTCCAGTCTTTAACAAAAGTATTGAGCAAGAGAAAAATAAAAAGTAATTTATCTGTACAATTTTTAAAGATTTGCTTTATCTTTAAAAGTTAAAAATGCCCCCTTTACACATTCCATGCTTCCTCTGAACTATCCAATAACTGAGGAAACGAAGTTGCAAAATATCTGCAAAATAATTATCTGCTGTCATAGCTTCTAAATGTTCTACCTTTCACAAAACAAAATTATTGCTCTTCTGGGTGGAGCCTATTGTGGGTCGTAAGTTTGTCAGTTGAACTGAAGACCACTGTACCCACAATTAAACATTGAATAAAAGGACAAGATCTAGCAATAAAACAGTTTATAAGAGACAAATCTAACAAAAAGGCACCCAGAGTTTGCGAACAAGTGATACCAAAAGAAAAAATATATCAAATACTGGTAAAAGGAATAACAGAGAAAGAAAAGCTACCATTTTAAACATAAATGCGATAATGCAAAACAACCAATAAAACTGTTAGTAGAAACAGATAATTTAATACTTTAATAAGAATCCTCAGAATTCCCAGAAATATAACAAAATATAAAAATAACTAGAGATAGCAAATATCTGAATATAACTGATAAGCTTCAAATGTAAGAGAAAAATAGAATTCTATGTCTGGATGGGGAATATGTCTGTTTTTGAAGCACGTAAACATTTAAGAAACTGACCGTACATGGACACTTTAATAAACTAAGGATTAATATAATATAGGCAATATCTCCAACTGTTATGTAATAAAATTAAAATTAAGACAAAAGGAGAGCTTTATTTTTTAGTTTTTTAAAAGATTTTATTTATTTACTTGACAGAGAAAGACACAGTGAGAGAGGGAACACAAGCAGGGTGAGTGGGAGAGGGAGAAGCAGGCTTCCCGCTGAGTAGGGAGCCCGATGTGGGGCTTGATCCCAGGACCCTGGGATCATGACCTGACCACAGGCAGATGCTTAACGACTGGAGCCACCCAGGTGCCCCAAAGGAGAGCTTTAAAAAAACCATACGTTTGGAAAAGTATATGATTAAGTGCCCTGGACTAATGAGAAAATCATAAAGGAAATTAAAAACACATACAGAATTAAAAGTAGATGAAAATACTACATTAAAAAGTTTATGTAACAAAGATAAAGCAGTATTTAGAGGGAAATTTATAGCTTTAATTATAGCCTTCAACAGAAAGAAATGTAAAAATGTAAAGCAAAAGCTAATAAAGCATTCAAATCAAAAGTTAAATAGAGCAACAGAGCAAACTCAAAGTAACAAAAAGAAAAACATAACAAAGGGAAGAGAAGAAATCAGTGAGAGAGAATACATATGTAATAACAAAAAGAAAAATATAATAAAGTGGAAGCTAATTCTTTGAACAGATTAGTAAGACAGACCTCTGGGAAAAGACTAAAAAGAAAACAGAAGAACAAAAAACGGACAAAGATATAGCATAACAGTATTAAATGTAACTATTCTTAAAGTGGAAAACACAGATACATTTTTAGAAAAATAGAAAATGCCATAATGCATACATCTTGGGAAAAAGAAAACTGAATAGATTTCAATAAGCATGAGATAAATAGAAAAACTTATTGGGTGTGAAGCCCAGATAATTTTACAAGTGAATTCTACTAGCCTTTCATGAACAGTTAATCCCTATACTACACTACCTGCTTTAGGATACAGAAAAAGAATAAAGTATCCCAGCCTGTTTATTATTAGAGTAGACTGTAATCTTGATTCCAAAGAAAGAACAATATAAAAAATTAGAAGATCATTTCACTTATGAATGAAATTTTAACCCTAACTAAAATGAGTTAACCAAATTTAACTGGGAACTAAAAAATAATTTTTTTTTAATATACAAAATTATACATTAAAAAAAAAAACCTTAAAAGGTAAGCTGGGTCTATCCCAGGAATGCAAAGACAGTTCAAAAGAAAAATCAAACGGTTGGTTGGAGAGTGTAGACTGGTGTTAACTGTCCTGAAGAGCCATCTGGCAGTACTTACTCTATAATCCAGCAATCTCACTTCTGGGTATGTTGCTCAAAGAAATTCTCAGAGAGGGGACCATAAACAATGATGTGTATCAGTCTTATGGTGGTAGAAGGTTAAAGGCAATTTGGATGTCCACCATGAAGTGAGTACAGAGATAAAATATGGTAGATGTAAGTCCTGAGTGGTTAGAAGCAATGAACTAAATGGACACAAAGTAACATGGATAAGTCTTATGCATTATGAGAAAAATGTAAGATCTATAACACAGTATACCTATTATGTAAAAATTAATAATGATGCATGATTTATAACAACACATACATCAAGTACTTTAGGAAGGGAAAGGGGGAAGGAGAACGGAAAAGGACAGGAGTCCTGATGAGTGATGCCCCATGCATTAAACTGAGAAGTATGATCAACTCAATTCTCTATTCCTGATGTTAAAAAAAAAAGGTTCAAAAGCTAATTCATTCACCAATCAACATTTATTGATAATTACTATATGTAAAACACATTGCACATTTTCCCTTTTTCTTTTTTAGTAGGCTCCACACCCAATGTGGGGCTCAGACTCACAACCCCAAGATCAAGAGTCACATGTTACCAACCGAGCCAGCCAGCACCCTACATTTTCCCTTTAAGTAATAACTACCTTAAGGAAAAAGTCTGCAGTTATCAAACATCATGATTTTAGCAAAATGGTAAACTGTCAACTTACAGTGTCCTCCTCCCATCCCTCCATAGTGGTTGGAAACAGCAATCAAATTATAGCGACAAGGACCTGCATTTGGATTAATTAGGAACTCCGACATATCCAGGTCACTGTTTAACAAAGAGATCAAGTTAGTTTTACCTTTTCCCCAAATGTCATGAATTCTACTATCTTCTGTCAATGTTGCTTGACTCTCATTTATATAAAAAATATCTCTCTCACTGAAGAAACCACTAAGAGTCAAATAACTGTAAAACATATATATATATAAAACATATATATACAAGTAACTGTAAAACACATATACATATATGTATATACACACACACACGCACACACACGGACATGCACACAAACATACGCACACACCTCTGAGATTTAAATATTTTGGCAAAATTTTTCTTAGGGGTTGGAAATTTTAAAATTGTCTACTGACTGCTGTTTATCCAGATTAATGTTTTTATGCTAATACATTTAACTCTCAGTATATAGTAAAAGAGTCATCACCATTTGCCATTGGGACCCTTTTAATTTTTCGTATTTTTGAAGTCATTTTTAGTAATTACGTATTTAAGGAAGAATAAATGATGGTGAAAAACAACTTTCACAGAAATCTTATAATAATATAGATATATCTAAACCCCAACATTTATTCTACATTTTCTTGGTTCTGACGATATATATACCCCAAGTGGGCAACATTCTTTGAAATGCAATCAACTGTTTGTAATCTGTCATGCATGAAACTGGAATATGACCATTTTATAGCTTATTATTTGTTTTTTTTGGACTTGCATCATTAAAGAGCAAAATGATTCTAAATCTCAAATATATCTCTCAAAGATTCCAGCTTATCATTACTTCTGGTTCTTCTTGTACTTAAACTGTCAAAATGTTACATTCTTCCTCTTTTTTTTTAATGCTATATTCTTGAGAAAACTTTGATGGCTCATAATTTTGTTAGGGAGAAAATTACCATTTTTTTTCTGGTAAAAAACTGCAAAATGTTTTTAATTTTAACTTTATAAACACCAATCAGAAATAAGCAATCCAAAGAATGTTTTCAATATTACATCCATTTCCTTCTAATCACACACACCTGCCTATGGCAGTTGTTACTTATTAAATGTATCAAACACCTCGTACACAAATATAAAATATAAAAGAATACTATCAATGTTCTTTTAGCAAAATGGGAGAGTACCAAGTTATTGTGTGATGCAAAATTTTGTGTGATGAAGTCCTTCCTGGACCATGTGAATAAGAATACACAATTTCAATTCTGTCCTTACGAATTCTCAAATTTAGTGAAAGTTTTTTGTTTCTTTTAAAGATTTTATTTATTTATTCATGAGAGACAGAGAGAAAGAGAGAGAGGGGGGCAGAGGGAGAAGCAGGCTCCCCAAGGAGCAAGGAGCCTGATGCAGGACTCGATCCCAGGGTCCCGGGATCATGACCTGAGCTGAAGGCAGACACTTAACCATCTGAGCCACTCAGGCTCCCAAATTTAGTGAAAGCTTTAAAAAAAAAAAAAAAAAAAGGACTACAAAGATGCTGTCTCCAGACTTTTTACAAAAATGATGTAGTACTCTGAACAATGCAATAGACTGAAGTATGACACAACAGGGATGACTGATCACTGTGTCATTCTTTTAAGCAATTACATTATTCTGTTTCATATAAGTTCAGTCTTTTTTAAAAAGCATACTAAGGAATAACTGATGATTAATGATGAAATAATTCCTAGGAAAAATAAAATCACTATGATCCCAGAGAATATCTAGATTTATAAACCATGCCAATGAACCCATATAATAATGTAATACAGAATTACTTTTATTCTGTTATTTAAAAAGGTATATTTTCTCATTGCTCTCTGAAAAATATCTAAAAAGGAATAAAAATTCTTACTGATCCTTACAATTTTTTAGAACTACTCCCAAATACACTCAAAAACTGAAGTTGGATCCAATGCTACCTGATGTTTATAAGAACCTACAGTTGCCCAATGTTTATAAAGCATAATCAAAACTTACTTTATGGGAAAATCAACTAAAGTATCCAGTTTGTCTCTCATGTATCGACTGTAAGAAAATCGCTTGAGATGTACCACAAGTACTGGAGGCAGGGACCATAAATCCAGTTTCTTTGTGGCTTGCTGATGTTCTTTACAATTTGGACAATACCTAAAAATAAAGAGAAATATTTAAAGCTTGCTAGAGGTAATGAAAATAGATGAAAACAATGCTTGTCAAGTTTTACATTTATTAAGTGGGCAAGTAATTGTGCCTAATATATACCAGACATATATATATAAATATCTCTCTTCAGTAAATCAAACTGATTTAGAATTATTATAAATTAGTATGTAAATAGGTATTCAAAGAAATGACGAAGGCTAGATTATTTACATTTTAGTAAGATAAAAGAACACAAAACTACGTTGAGATATAAGTATTAGAAAATCTCAAAACTTCTGGGCTCTAATGGAATTAATAACACCACAAAACATGATTTTCCTAAAAATGTTTCTATCAAAACGGTTGCACAGCAAAAAATTCTTGGGAAAAGTAACTAAAATTATCCATAGTAAAATGGCTACTACAGAAAATACAGTAATGAGATTAAAGCTTAACATTATAATAATACTTTTAAACATTTGAATCATTTTTTTTTTAAAGATTTTTTATTTATTTATTTGACAGAGAGATAGTGAGAGCAGGAACACAAGCAGGAGGAGTGGGAGAGGGAGAAGCAGGCCTCCTGCCGAGCAGGGAGCCCAATGCGGGGCTCGAGCCCAGGACCTTGGGATCATGACCTGAGCCGAAGGCAGACGCTCAATGACTGAGCCACCCAGGCGCCCTGAATCACTTTTCTTTTTAAAGATTTTATTTATTTCTTTGAGAGAGAGAGATAGAGATAGCAACAGAGATGAGAGCACAAGCAGGGAGGAGAGGAAGAAGCAGGCTCCTGGCTGAGCAGGGAGCCTGATGCAGGGCTCAATCCCAGGACCCTGGGATTGTGAGCTGGGCGGAAGGCAGATGCTTAACCAACTGACCACCCAGGCACCCCTTGAATCACTTTTAACAGACTCTTATCATTTAAAGAAATGCTTATTATTTAAAATATCAAAAGGAATTTAGTTACTGCTTTTTAAACTTGATGTATCACATACCTCAGTATTAAATCCTTAAAAAATAATTAGAAGTAATTTTTTAACTTTGTCTCTTACCAGGGATCTTCAGCACCTAGCTTTTCTTTTGTTGTAAAAAGCTCAATGCAATCTTTTAATTTCACAAAGGGTTTTTTAGGAGGTTTATATTCCACACTTTCATGTTTTTCAAAATCCTAAAGAGAAGTATTTCTTGAGTTAAGAGAACAAATGAAACAAAACTCATTTTAGTGATACCATCTTACTATGAATAGTAATGAAAAACTCCTAAACTTTCTCAAAAGAATTATAAAGCTTTATTTCAGCTGAGATTTACACCACACTTCTAAAAAACTTCTATATACACACCTACATGGATGATTAAAACTGTTAACAGAAAGCATGTTTGTAAACCAACAAGGCTTTTCTAGTACATAACCATTTTTCTACTAGCAAAATAAACATATTTGGTAGAGAAGCAAAAGAGTGTAACAAAATTGTGATCAACATGGAAAGATATGGAATGAGTGATGACTTACCTCAGCGGCATTTTCATCAAAATATCTTTTTTTCAAATCAGGATCCCAATCCAAAGCAAGAAAAGATCTTTCTAAGATGGAAAACATATTTTTTCTTTAAAACTTAATATGCCTTCATTAAAATGAGTACATTTTAATGTTAAGATATATACTAGAACAAACAATCTTTTCTACTTGTACTAGGTAATCAGGGTAAATTGCTGTTTCCAAGGCATTAAAAATTTAAGGAGTTAAAAAAAGATACAAAACTTAAGCATAAGTCTAACCTACGTTTAATAAGCAGTGATGTGTTTTAGTATACTTAGAAATTAAGACTTTTCATTTAAGATATAAATATAGATTTTATATAGGTAAGTGAATATTATTTTTCATGACTGCTGAATTTGTTTTTTGTTTTGTTTTAAAGATTTATTTATTTATTTATTTGAGAGAGAGAGAGAGAGAGAGAGACAGCGACAGAGGGAACACAAGCAGGGGGTAGCGGGAGAGGGAGAAGCAGGCTCCCGGCTGAGCAGAGAGCCCGATGCGGGGCTCGATCCCAGGACCTTGGGATCATGACCTGAGCCGAAGGCAGACACTTAACGACCGAACCACCCAGGTGCCCCTGATTTCACAGTTTTCACCTAAAATAATAACATGCTTTGCTCAAGTTCAGTGTGTAAGCCAGTTTTCACACTTACCATCTAGCCTAAGCTGCCTCTCGTCAAATCTTATATGCCTGGTATCATCTTTGATGTAGTTGATATCAGTATTGCCTAAATTGTTGAACTGGAATGTAAACAATCTTTTTTTGTGTCCCGTGAGTTGACCTTTACAAGTTTCCTCAGTACATAATCCATTTTCAGAATCATTATCTCCTCCAACTGAATCTTCAGACTGACTGTTTTCATTCTCAGAGGGAAGTTCTTGATCCTGGCTGGATTCATCATCTGGCTCATCTGTTTCCATTTCACCTAATTTTAGATATTAGAAGTCTTTTAAATAAACCCAATGCTACATTTAAAAGTTATTAATATTAACATTATTTTTCCCAGGTTTGAAGAGATTTTTTAGTTCCTTAATCCCCATCTTCTTTTTTTCTGAGGCAATAATCCAAGTGAAAGGTTTTATAATTTAAGAGGAAAGTCTTACTTGGTGAGCCTTCTTCATGTATGCCATTTGGGCCATTCCCATTAATATTTTGGTCCTTACAGCAGTGTAGGGATCCTTCAGTTTCTTCAGTTTCAGTAGATATTTTGACATATCGGCTTAAATAAAATCAGAAATCAAACAAATTTAGTTCTATGAAGGTAAAAACTTAAAAAAAAGTTTTCCATTCTTTCAGTAAAACAAAACTTTTTAATGGAGTAATAGTGGTCATTTAGTTGAAGGATAAATTAAACTCGAAATAGTACCATAAGTGCAAGTGACTAATCATTTCTGTTTTAGTTGTCTTTATAAAAAGAAGGTGATTTGTTACTTCTAGGGTTTTAACATCTTTCTATGCTAAAAGTTAGTGGCAAATAATTTGACTTAAAGTTATTATATAAATATTCTCATTTAGATGATATATGTATTATTACTAAGATCACTTATAACTGTATAATGTGATCTTTATGTACAGGCTATGGGACTATAATTATTAAAATGTGTATGTAAGAAAGAATACTAAATACGTCAGTTACAAAGCATAAAATAAAAGGGATCAAATGGCAGTTTTGATTATATTATAATTCAAATCAAGGTTTTAGGATGACAAAAAAGGGGTTGGCTTAAAATACTATCAACCATGAAAGTTTATCCTTTTAAATAAAACCATTATAGGAGGAGTTCTTGAACTTGCTAGCAAGGTGTATAAATAAATGAAGCACCTGAAATTTCTTGTAATTTCAGAGTGCATACATGACAAATTCCTATTTTCTTCCAATTGTAAACTTCTGGTTTAAAATAGCTAAAAGAATTCATACGTTCTGGGTTTGCAATTACCTCAGTAATGTGTTTAACATGATCAAGAAACTCAAACTATAATTTGATTTTGTAAATTGCTATCTGTTTAAACAAAGTTGAGATAGTACACGCTTATCATATTCTGACAGTATACTGCACATTTATTTTTATTAACTATTCTATCATTCCTTTTGTTAATGTAGAATTGTCTGACACTTACCACATTCTCAAAAGCAGGAGATTATAGAGTTTATCTTCAGTATTATTTCGTGGTACAGCCATAAGAAAAGGCTGACCAAAAAGTGAAGAACCAGTATGGTGGGTATAACTTGAGTGTCTAAATTTTTCTCTTAGGCAAACAGGAATAATCACATGCTCTGTATCTTCTGTCCTATTGATGTTAATTTCAAACCTATAAGGACAAAACTGACCATAAACTCTGAAAACTTTTATGTTATTTCTTCTGAAATTTTTCCCAAGTAATATTTTGCACAATGAATTTTATACTTACACATAAATATCATCCCGTTCCATAATACTACTAAGGTTTTCATCCATAGCGAATATTCTGTGAAATCTATGATTGTATATATCAGTAACTATCATCTAAAAGGAAATAAATTTCTATTAAGCTGGTTTTACAGCACTGAAAAACTAAACTCCCAACTTACATACTTTAAACCCAGAAACACCTTACCTTATCTGCAGGTACTCCTGACAAAGCAGACAATGCTGTACAAAGATCAAGTATGTTTCCAATTTTGGGAACAACCACTTTGTACTAAAAAACAAAAAAATTGTAATGCATTTATTACTTTGGAAAAAACACTCAGTAGATGAAACTGAACTCTTGGTTGCTTCCTCACATTCACTTGGTATCTGGTTTACAGTGTCTTTCTCCAATCCTACTATCATCCTGGCTGACAATGTCTATATGGATAATTTATCTCAGCCTAATTGTTCCTTGGCTCTTTGATTCAAAGACCTACATTTACATTCAACTGTAGTTCACTTCTTCCATCTTGTCATAAACTTGCTCCACCTCTGATATCTTAAAACTCTTATCAGGCTACTGACTAACCACTAATTACTTTTCCTGGAATCTCATTTTTTCCCATTCTTGGCTTACATTTAGAGCTCTAGTCCTTTTAATTTTCAATTTTCTCGTGGTTTACCAACTTCCTACCGTCTTCATGCCCTTCCCTCCAGATCCCACATGATTCATCACTTCAACTACTGCACTGCAAAACCTTTAACTATTTTGTTATTCAATTTTATTCTTGCTATGCTTTCTTAGAGCTGTTCAGATATGCTGGAGAAAACTGACCAACTTTAGAGACTGGTTTGCTACAAATTCACAGTGTCCAAGTCTTTTTTTTTTAAAGATTTTATTTATTTATTTATTTGAGAGAGAGAGAATGAGAGAGAGAGCACGAGAGGGAAGAGGGTCAGAGGGAGAAGCAGACTCCCGCGGGGCTCGATCCCGGGACTCCAGGATCATGACCTGAGCCGAAGGCAGTTGCTTAACCAACTGAGCCACCCAGGTGCCCTCACAGTGCCCAAGTCTTAACCAATCGTTCAAAACTAGCCAGAAATTCTGTGCATCCCTTATTTGCTTCTTCTTTCATTTCTCTCTCAGTAACTATATAAAATCTTCACCATTCCTTAGGTTTCCTATCTCACCACCTCTCCCTTCACTATCCGCAGAATACACGGGGGTGGGAGGGTGGGGGGATGGGGGGGGAGAGGCTACTGGATAGGAAAATCTCCAACTTTGTGTCCTCTAACAAACTTCTAAAAGATCTTTTTCTCCAGTTCGTTCTACACATGGAAAGAGAATCAGTTGTCACCCTTCCCATCTAAGGTTAACCCTAGCATCTCTGCTCTGAATCCTATCCTGTTCTATTTCCTTGGGAACCAGCAATCATCCTTTATTCCATTTTGTCCTGATTCTTACATAAGCAAAGGAATAATTTACAAGTCTCTCAAAAAAAAAAAAAAAAAAAAAAAGAAACCAGTCCTTCATTGCTTTCCCTCTATCTCCCTTTCTCCTCTGCTTTATAAATAACCTTGTTAAAAGTAATGTCCACACTATTTTAACCTTCCTCACTTCCCATTCACCCCTGGCTTTTGTCCTCATCTCTTTATTTAACCAGTTACCAAGACTGTCAAATTCCTTTAGAATTTTACCCTTGACCTTTTCTTTCTTTTAAGATTTTATTTATTTGTCAGAGAGAGAGAGAGCACAAGCAAGGGGAGCGGCAGACAGAGGGAAAAGCAGGCTCCTTGTTGAGCAAGGAGCCCAATGCAGGACTCGATCCCAGGACCCTGGGATCATGACCTGAGCAGAAGGCAGATGATTAATGGCTTAACTGACTGAGCCACCCAAGTGCCGTTCCCCCCATCCCCTTTAGCCCGCCCTCCTCTTGATTGTATAGGCTCTCTTTAGAGCAGGTGACAATATATCCCAGTTTGCTTCGGCCAGTCCTGGATGAGCCTGCAGTCCTGGTATAATGATTAATACTGGTTCCTTTTATTTTTAAAAGAGTTCTGGTTTAGATGACACATCACAGGGTCACCCTAGCCTTAGGGAATCTCATCCTTCTAAGACACTCACTAACATTTTAATAGAGCTCACTGCCCAATTTCTGTCTCAAGCACAGACATCTCTCCTCCACTCTAGATACATAAACTCAACGCCTACTGATAGCTCTACCTAAATTTTCCTCATGCACCTCAACATGTCCAGTACTAAACACAGATTTAGGTCATGTTAGGTCAACATATCCAATATTAAAACAGGTTTCTTCCTATATATCCCATTAAAACAAAGAGCACCTCTGTCTCCTCAGTTTTGCAACCCAATAAGCTTGGCATCATCTTTGAATATTCTTAAACATTTTTACTTCTTGTATTCAACTAGTTCTTCTAATTGCCATCCTGACACTAATCTTAAGAGTTCAAGCCCTTTTCATTTGTTATCTGATCACTGCAAAACTCTCTTACATGGTCTTAGTACACGTGACCTAAGCTTTTCCAATCCAGTCTTTGCACTGGGTCTTCTTTCTCGAATACAAATCTGGTCACATAATCTCTCATTTAATAACCTTTAATGGCTCCTCTAATTTTTAGGATGAAGTCCAAACTTCCTATCATGGCAGCAAACTTCTTTGAGCTCACTCCTGCTTACCATATTAACTACTTATAATTTCCAGAAGTGGGCCATGTCGTCTTTTGCCTTTAGCTCTTTGTATATGCCACTCTCTTGGTCTACAATGCCTTTATTTCCAGCTTTCACACGCTTAAAACCTAATCATCCTTCAGGATTCAACACGGGCATTATTGGCAGTTTGGGTATGTCACTCCTCCTGTATACTGCTACAGTGCCCTGTCACGGCCTTTTTCACACTATATGAAAAGCTTCTTGGGAACAAGAACCAGGAACACCTTTGTATTTCCAGCACTTTGCCGCATATGAGAGTCCAATACATAACATGTGTTCAGTAAAATTACTAATAAACTATGACCTAAATCAACTCCAGTGGTGGGAAAACTCATCAAGTAGGTTAACTCAGCTAATTTCCCTTTCCTCTCCAGCTGGTTAAAGCACACTGTTAATGAGTCTATTATTTTGTATTTGAATTGTTACTGCCTCCAAGTAGAAAAAAAATGCCCAGTTCCTCTGTGCTGACCATGGCTCCAATCTCCACAAACTGGTAGTTTTGGCCGCCAAATGAGAAAATAGGTATACTAATGAAATTCACATTACTGGAAAACAATTTAAAACCCAAATTATGGGAGAACATTCAATATATGCCTTATAGGCTAATGTGAAATTTGAATGCAATCTGTCCCTATGTAATGAAGATTACTTTGTATTACCAGCATGGGAAAGTACTGTCTTTAACAAATGTACTGTAAAAAAACAGTGCATTTTTTTGTTGCGATAAATTTTTACTTATTGTTTTATGCTTCTCTCTCATTCCATTATACTCATTGGCATATATTTACAAACTTACAAACTAGACAGGTAAGAGTGTAGTTTAGCATTGCTATAGTTTCCCTGCACTGAAAAGAACGTTAACAAGTCTATGCTTATTAAAGGGTGTGATTTTTAGAAATGTGAACATATATTCCCTGGCCAAAAATAAAAGCAGGTCTTCCCTGGCCCTGCTCAATATTCTTAGTACTACTGAATGAAATACTGACATGAGGGCATCAAGTTCAATGAGTTCGTGAAGGAAACATATAAAGGAGCAAAAGAAATAGGGAAAATTTGCATTACTAAGTGCATGACTAGTCTTTACTAGACTTTAATTACTTTGAATGAAAGGACTATACTTCTATTATGAACACCTCATTTATGGTGTCCTTGTTGACAGTAAACCCAAACACTTCCACTAAATTAATGTTAAGATTATCAAAAGGAGACCTTTCATAAAGATCTCATGATACTGCTACTGGTTGAATTGTGTCCCCTTAAAATTTATGTGTTGAAGCCCTAACCACCAATGTAATGGTATTTGGAGGGGGCTTTAGGGTGGTTTAGATGAGATCAAAAAGGTGGGGTCCTCATGATGAGATTAGTACCCTTATAAGGAGATGCCAGAGAGCTTATGTGCATACAGATGCTCTCTCTCACTCTGCTCTGTCTCTAAACACAGTGAGGACAAGGTTGTCTGTAAACCAGGAGTCTGCACTAGATACCAATCAACCTGATGCTCTTGATCTTAGACTTCCAGCCTCCAGAACTGTGAGAAAATAAATTTCTGTTGTTTAAAGCCACTCAGTTTATGGCATTTTGTGATGCCAGGCCTGAGCAGACTAATATAACTACTATGCTCTAAGAAACTGCACTATCTGGTTGGAACTCTAAGCTAAAGATCTTCAGTAAACAGTGCTCTAAAGCAGGAGCCATGTCTGCTCTGTTTGCCAAACAGCTTTATACTCTCATGAGGTGCCCAACACATATTTCAATGAATATAATTTTTTAATATTTCTGCATTAGTAGTACTACAAGTCATGGGGGTTGGAAATACAAAGATTTACAAAGTCCCTATCCTCAAAGAACTCATGGTCTAGTGGAGAGAAGATAAGTAAACCAAAGGTCATAATAAAATTTAATAAGTGCGATAATAGAATTGAACTGAAGGTAGAAGAGAAAGAACTACTTTTGTTAGGGTGGTTCAAGTGTCAGGAAAGGATTAATTGACAAATGAAGGGAGAAAATATAATGCTTTGCTTAGAACATTAGTGAAGCAAGTATTTATAGCTGAACTAAATTTCTATTTCTCTTCCAAGTTCTTAAGATGCCCAAAAGTTATAGGTATTTAAGTATACCATTATCAAATCATGAATCAAAATGTATGGTATTAGTTTTCCTTCCAACAGCCACTAGAAAAAAAATAATTAACATTAAAAGTTCAAGTTGGAAAACAGGAAAAATAATGTTATTAATCTTTATTAAGCTGATATTTATCCTAACATTGTAAAATTGAACGACCTCTCATTTTTCTTTCATAAGAAAAAGCCTTTGAGAATTTTGTTTTTATAAATAATGATACTTTACACATCCCTCATCTTTTCAAGACTCTAAAAAGTTGTACTAATTTCCAAAGTATTTAGCTTATAAAATCTCCTACACAAATAAACTTACTACTGAATTGTGCTTGAGACACAAGGTCTCAATACTAAGTTTTTATAAAAGAAACAAATGCAAAGAAAATAATCATGACTTACCTGCATAGGTTTGGTAAGTGGATCCATCCTAACTAAATATACTTCCAAGGTGCGTTCTTTTTTCATGGGCAATGGAAGTGTCAAGTAACAAAAAGGATCAAATGTTACAGAAATCTTAGCACATTCAGGACAAACTAAAGTTGATTTGAAAAGGCCGTGAAATATATCTACTATGATAGAATCATTTCTTTTTAAATGGTTTTCCCAGGCTTCTTCAGCAACTATCTGTAAGAAAAACAGACACATATTACACAGAGATATCACACTATTATAACAGTGGTGACAATAATATCATTAAATTTACCTTATCTGGTCTTCCATCCGCATCTTTTAATTGTATATATGGTTTTTTCCTAATTCTATTCAAATCCTCATGTAATCCATCTAACAGGAAAGCTAATAGCTCTTGACAGTCCTGCTGCTGGTATCCAGAGAACTGAGGTGCAAAACGTCCTACTTGTGTCTGTAAGAAAAGAAAACTATAAAATCAGTTATAGGGACAAGACTGATTTAGAAAAAAATTGATTCTCATTATTCACGGATTTCATATTTAGTGAATTCACCAACTGCTAACATTTATTTGTAACCCCCAAATCAACTTGTGGCACTTTTGCAGTCATTTGCAGATATGGTAATTACATATACATACATACAAATAGATAATTACATATCCGAAAACATTTTTTAAATAACTGATCTGTAATATAGAAAAGACCTGAGGAAAGAAAAAGGAGAAAATATGGTAAAGTTTTGTACAAAGGATTTGGAAATATAAAATTCAATAATATTTTTTGGGTCACTAGAAAAAATTACAAAGCTCTCATTTAGTTTCTGTGTGTAAAAAGAAGATAAATCTCAGAGACAACAAGAATGTTTGTGTTCATATATAATCTTCCTAGTCTTTGCAGTACTATTTTTTTTTATAAAACTGAAAAGAAATGTGAAAGAAAAAGATATCAAGAGCCTGTTTACATATAATTTTAAGATAGTATCTAGTAAAATAAAACTAATTGGAATCATGCGTAAGGGTTGAGAAATAGTTTGTCTAAATTAGCTTGTCCAAAGCTTAGAAAGTTAAAGAAGATAAATGCAGTAGTGTTTTGATTTGTTTTTTATTTTTTAAGAACTAGTATATAGTTAATAAAATGTTGCCTAGATGTCCTATATGAGTATCATTTAAGTTGTCTGTGTTAAAAAATAGCTGAAAACTGCTTATTCTCTTTAAAACAGAACTCACCTGTAATAAATAGGAAAACTTTATCCCCCTGCTCTCTCTCAGTGTCAAATAAATAAAAATCTTTCAAAAAAATAGGAAAACTTTTTTAACTATATAAAACTAAATTTCAGCTCAATTCTTATTTGAATGACAAACTAAATTATTTGAGGTTTTATTGGTTCTAAGAGGTAACCATATAAGAATAAACTTAAATTAAGTTTATTCACAACAGAATAATAAGAATAAAAATAAACTTAAAAGCTTAAGGATTATATTGAAAATATTTAATTAATATGTAGTGCTGGTTTTGCAGACTAGTTTCATTTCAATAACTTTTCAAATTTACAATGACTCTCAAAATAAACTGAGTTTCTTAGACTTCAATGACATGCCCAAATTTAGCCTTTACATTTTTTTTTTTTAAAGATTTTATTTATTTATTTGACAGAGAGACAGCGAGAAGAGGGAACACAAGCAGGGGGAGTGGGAGAGGGAGAAGCAGGCTTCCCACCGAGCCCCAGGGAGCCCGATGCGGGGCTCGATCCCAGGACCCTGGGATTACGACCTGAGACGAAGGCAGACGCTTAATGACTGAACCACCCAGGCACCCCACCCTTTACATTTGTAATAAAAATTTATGTAGGTTTCTCAGATATATACTGTATTCTAAAGCAACCTGCATATGCTCTGCTATCTCTTGTCATTTGTACCATAACAGTGTTTTCCAGTATTTCATTATTTCCCTCCCCATCCCCCAGAACCTTTTTGGACATTTTAATGTAATTATCTGTCCCATCCCCCACCCAAGAAATTTAACAGCACAGACATACTGTGTATCTATTTGTGTTGGGTCCCTATGGAGGACCACAAATCAATTTAATAGCTATGATTTTTTTTCACTCCTTCCCCAAAGAACCTACTTTTGTCCTCTTGGGGATGATATAGCCCTTATTGAAAATGTACTTACGGTACTAACCTTAAAGGCTCTTGGCGTGACATAGCTAAATTTTCCAGACCACATTTGTTTGATCAATTCAGCGTAAGATTTAGCTATTTCACCTCTCATTCCTAAGGGATTGTCAAAATTCAGTTCTTCTTGATACTTATCATTGAGGAAATATTCAGTAAGTGGAGGTGTGTTGCTCAAACACTGCAAAGAATAAAACACATTTTCAAGTAAAAGTAATCACACATTAAACATGTTAAAATGGAGAAACAAACTGACTTGCCATAATATACAGAGAAAAATTTAAATGATGGCCTCTTGAACTAGTAAATAAGTAACTGGTCAAATAAACACTCAAATGATACACTCAACTATTCATTTCCCAAATTTCAAATCAATGACTTATAATAAATGAAAATGCTAATATTTGTTGCTGTAAAATCTGCATTAATTTTAACCACAGCAAACTACCTGTTAACTGGGAGAGAAGCTCAGAGTTTTCTTTCCTTCTTTTACTTGATTGGTAGAAATTATGGATTGTCTACTCATCCCAGGCACCTGCAAATTAGCCTGAGTAGGTAAAAACTGAGATAGAGTGCAAGCAAGAAATTAACTTTAAAGAGGTATTTACTGCTTCCATTGTCAATTCCTTATCATGAAAGAGCAGCCTTTACGTTTTCCATTTGGTCAACCATTTTTAGAAGGGACAGTACAAATTAGCTGAGCCTGAGGAAACCAACTTTTGTTATGTGAACTCTGGTAAGTGTGTTCTTAAATCATCAAGTTTTTCAATACCATAACAATCCAATTTTCCTTTATGGCAAGATTAAAACTATGAATAAGTTCATTCTCCATCTCTTTTTCCATTTAGAATTAAATAATTTAGGATTTAAAATAAAATAGATGGCAGAAGTATAGTTTTTCCACAATATTTTATCTCAAGATGAATAATTTTAAGTTGATAATACCATACAATTTGACTTAATTATAAACCCAATATTACTTTATCAATTAGATGTCTAGAATCATCAAATAGAATATGTAGTGACTGACAGACATATGGTCATATAGGTCACTTTCTTTTGCTGCAGGAAGACATTTGTCTTGGGAGTCAACTGGCAAAGTACTTAAGTGAAGGTAGTTGCTTGCATGTAAAGGATTCAAAAATCATTCTTATGAGAGCTCGGATTTATATGAATGAAAATCAAGGTTTTTCAAAACTTGCTTACCACTCATTTGGATTAATAGTCTGGGATTAAAGTCTTGGTAGCTATGAAAAGTTCAGCCTCGTGGGTTCATGCCAGTAACTTGGGTACCATAAACTATGTCTATATACCATGTACTGTTTGGCTAAAATTTCAAAATTAAGCATATTAGATTTTTCAAAATAAATTATAAAGTTCTATTCTGTGGTTTCAAATATGTTATATTTACTCAAGTAACTATAATATCTATTTTGGTATTTTCAATGGAATAAAAATAATACAGCTCAAATTGGTAATCTGGCCCCAATCATTAGGCAAAAAGGGAGAACTATTTATAATATGGAATTTGTTATTATATAATTCTTAGGCAATGAAAGCAATATAAAAACAGTTAAAAGTGTTTGGGGTAGACTATATAGACCTTAGCGTAATTTTCAAGCCATTTTCAGCAGTAACAAATTTTACATGAGCAACAAGAAGACAGAGGTAGGTTACAGTGTAGGAGGCAATTTGGGAAAGGATACTTTCCTACTTCTGAACTCCTTTTATACCTCAACCTTTCATAATCTTACACACCTTTTGAAATTCATTCTCTTTTCCTTTTGCATTATATGTTCTTTTAGTTATAAACGCAGGACTAGAGGTAGGGTCAGGCAACCCACCATAGCTACATTAAATGCCATTACTTAGCAGTATCATCTGATTTAGTACAAATAGGATCAACACTATATAGTCAATGAGGCAAAGAGGAGGCAGTCTGACAGCATTTCCAACAATTAGTTTTCAAATCCTTGTATTTTTTTTCCAAATCCCTGTATTTGATCAGTTCAGGGTTATACTAAGAATATGATATTCCACTACTGTCTGTAACAGCATTATACAAAGAACCTAATTTATGGTTTTACCAAACTAAGAATTAAGTAGGACAAACACAAATAATTTTTGAAAGTTTTCACTTAATTTTTTACATGTATCCTTCCTTATCTTGCAAAGAGCTTCCAAATATAACTGAAAATCCTTTTCCAGTAGCATCCAGAGTGATCTTTGTAAAATTTTTATCTAATTATGTCACTTCCTTGCTATAAATCCTTTAATAGCAATTCCAGATTAAAATCTCAAATCTTTGAAAGAATCTGTCTTTTGCTACCTAGGTAGCCTATGTTTTGCTCATACCTTTATTTGACTCCATCCTAGCCTCATTTAATTACTTGTGGTTCCTTGACCTCCATGCAATCTCTCACTCTGTAAATTTTCAGTATCACTTCATCTATTTGAGATATACCTTCTTTGTCCTACTAACTTCTACTAAACCATGAAGATTCAGGATTCCTAGATTTCCTTATAGTGTTTCCTCCTGTATGTTTCCATATTGCATAATGCTCACTTTTATTACAGCACTTATTTTATAATACAGTGTAACTTTAATTTTTAGTTTGTCTTGCTAAATGGACTGAGACTTTCATGAGAGCAGGAACCATAATATCAATTATATATATATCTCCAGCACTCAGCATGTACGCATGATTAATAAAACATGTTTTTGCCTATATTAACAAATGTTTTTATCCTCTTGGTTTTTTACTCTTATCCTTCAAATGTTTGGCACAGAGTACTTAAATTTTTCTTGAATGAACTATTACTAAATGAGGCAAAAATATATTAGCTGGTAATGAATAATCTCAAAAGTTTCTTCAAGCACTTTTACTTGAATACTAAGCCAAAGAAGGACAGAACCTATTAAAAACTTTCCCATGCTTTTGTGCAACTCTTAATCTCGGGAGTCCTGAGTTTGAGCCCCACATTGGGTGTAGAGTTTGCTTAAAATAAATAAATAACTTAAAAAAAACCCCACAACCTTCCCATGCTTTTGTTTAACTTTCATTCAATCCACTACCTGCTTTGTAGTGGGTCTCTGCTTGGATTTTTTTAAGTCCTTGACACAGAGACCAGTGATTATTTTCAAAGTGACACATGTGATTTTGAAGTTGACTATAATTCAACATTACAAACTAAATAACAAAAATACACATATAGTTTTAATGATAAGTGCTTATATTACGAGTCAAGGTATCATAACCAATATATTTTGAGATAACCCTTAAATTTAAACCATTAAGTCCTAAATGGCCCAAAAAAGCATTCTATTTGTTAAACACAATTTTTTAAAAACATAAGTATAGTTGACACACAATGTTACATTAGTTTCAGGTGTACATACACCAGAACATAATGTTTTAAGAAACTCACAAGCTGCATTTTTTAAAAATTTATACAAACACATATAAGTACAGAAATTCAATAGCTTAAGTGTTCTACTAATGCACGTATCATAAGAGTTTAAAAACTGACACTGATGTCAGACTTTTCTTTCTCATATTGAAAATATCTTTTCTCCCTGACCTTGAAAATATTATTCTTGAAATAGTATAAAGACCACTTAAAATAATAAAAGTTCTCTTATAATTTTTAGTACAAATTTCAAGGTATAATTAGAATACAGGTCAAACAAATAAAATATTTCCACGTGTCAAATGTTATCAGTATTCAATGCCATCACTGTGGCAGAAGGTCGTTTCTTAAAATTGGTCATAATGCAGTTTCAGTTATAATTTATGCAACTCATTCTATCTTTTAACATGAGGCTGTCTTAGAAACATGAACATCTTTGACAACTACAAGAAAACTGGGCACTTGGACTGGCTGCCATTAAATACAATGTTTTAAAGAATAAATATTTTGGCTGGTTCAATAATAAAAACAACCATAACCATAGTTCTGAAACATCTCTCTCAAAGATTCCTCTACTATAACAAACATCACTTTTCTATCTGATGGGGGCTGTCCCAAAACAATTCTTTTCTTAAGACATATATATATATTAAAAGCCCTACATATGTAGACATAGGGAATTTCCTTTTCAGCCTGTAAGATACTTCACTATGGAGTGACATAATATGGACCTGAAATCACACAACATGTGTTGTGTGCCTACGTGGATGTATTTCTCACTCTCAATGATTCTTGAACTATAAAACAGAACAAAACTCATCCTAACATACATGGTTTTTCCTAGTAAAATCTGAGAACATAGATATAAGTCTATCAGAAAAACAAAAGGGATTACAGAAATAGTATTAGTATGTTATTTTTGTGGCTACTTATGAGTTTTGTGACATTCTACCAGTTACATGCCATTTTGAGCTTTAATTCAGATTTCAACTCCCTGCCATTGACAAACCAACACTTCAGTATTTCATGGAGAACTACCTCTTACAACTCATCACCAAAAAAAAGAAATGAAGTCCAAATATGAGGTAATGTGACTGATCATAAGACACGCACCACGTATCTTAAGCCACATTTTGTTTATAACATAATGGTGCCTATAGTTGTTCCTAAAATTGGGTAGAATTTTGTAAAATACCATGTTAAAAGTAAAGCAATAATCAGAATGAAGAAAAGGATTCTGTGCCAGTAGTTTCAGTTCTTAATGTAAAAGAGAGTAAGTAAAAATTTACAATAATGAACAAGCAAAAATGCACTTGTTAACGAGGCTAAATATTTCTATACTTAAATATTTTTTATGATTCCTAGGCAAGTTAATAACGTGTGAAATTGACAAGAGCAATTGAAGATCTAAGGATTATAATACTAAATTTCATATTTAGTATATATTAGTTTTGGCATTCATTAGTTTATTAGCCTTTGTGATAAAATGACCAGTTGGTTAACTGGAAGGTTCAGGATATAGGCAAGTATGAAAAATTGTTGATCCATGAGGAATGAGAATGCCTGGGTATGTGTGAGTCAATTATTTTGTAAGCAGATGTGACTGCTCAGCATCTGTTCCTGAAAGTGGCTCCTTGGTTCTCTACTTGTGCTTACATATGCATTTAAAATGGAAACTCCAAATGATAAAGAACATTCTTGAATGTGAATTTGAATTAGGAGTCTTAAGTCATATTTAGCCCTTAGTTTAATGTATTATGACTGAACCTT